GAGGACTTCACAAATAGTACTTCATGCTCCTGCAGGAGGTAATGGCATGCTGAAATTTTCCTGACTTTTTTCTGTTACTGCTTTTGTACAAATTTCAAATTTGCCAACTGTAGAAAAGGATCTGCTGAGGAAGTTTCTCTCCAGCAGGGAAAGAATGCATGTCCCAGTCACTCACAACTGCTTGGGAATTCAGGCAACAGCTTTCAAACAAATTATTGCTTCTAGAGTAATAACTATTTTTAGCCCCCATCCTCAGTGCTGCATCTGTACACTTAGAGGTTACATTAAGGTCTAGTGTACTGTATACTTTAGGCAGAATAAAAGATCTAAATATAGCACTTACTTGAACACAAAATAGATGTTCCAGATAATACTTCAGGCACTGAAACTACTACAACACCATACTGCTCATAGGTATAATGTCAAAGCATCATGGACAACAGCCCTTTTGACAATTTCTGCAATGGCAGGCAACATTTTAATCACATTCATCAAAATGAATATAGGAATATAGGTAGGAATATTGCCCTTTGCTCACTTTATGACAAGGTTCAACATCTGATTTCTTCATGCATTTTAGACTCAGTTTTCTAATACTGAATGTCATTTTCTCATGCTTTATATTCTCTCACAAAAGAGACACGTCAAATGTTCAAAGGATGGCATGCCAGGATAGAGGGGGTACAAAATCTTGAAAAGTCTATAAACAATCTAATTTAAACAGTATTAAGTTATACCTGTATACTTACGTCTATTAATTCTGCATTTATATTGGTATTTAACAGTCACACAACAAGATAAAAGATAATATGCTATGTCATGGCTAGGATCAGGGTATCAAATATTGAATCAGCAAGAATCCTCAGAAGATATTCTGATTATCCAGATACATTTCTTAGATTTAATTTAATCTTTTATTATGGTTACCTTTAAACTCAGAAAACGGTGAACATTCATCTTCTGAAAGTATAAACAAAATTTATCTCTGTGGACATTATCTGATGACTCATCTCTTGGGCTTGGGTTACTATCAAATCAATTTTATTTTTGTTACAACTACAGCTAATGTAGTCACTACGCTGGCAATGTATACCATTTAACCTTAGGACTAATATTAATTTCACTGAGCTAAAAACATAGACTACAGTCATTTAGTATACTACCTAGGTACACAAGCATAAAATTCAATCTGGATTTCTCTGCACTTAAAAGGACCCCAGCTGAGACTGTTCAACTGTCAGGTTTAGCAGCCAGTTGAACCGGAAGGAGCCTTCTGTACCTGCCAGAGACAACATTTCAGAATGCTTGCAGACTCAGTCTAATCCTCCTGAAGTATTTCTCGTTTTCTATTTGGATGGAAATGGTTAATAGATTAACTCATTCAGGTCAACAGGAGCTATTCAGTCTTCTGTCTGAATACAACCTTACTCTTCCAGTGAAAGACCAGCACATGAGAGTGAGAACATCATCCAAGTCCCCACCTTGGGACCCAAGAGGTCCAAAGAGGAGTTATACACCCCCAAGGATCCTAAACCAGAACTACAAAAAAACTGACAGCTAACAAAGTTGACTTTATAAATATGAGATGCAATGTCTTCCAGACGTTCCCAGGCGTTCACTGCTTCCTAGACTTATTGTTTCATTTATGTGAAAACTCAGAAACAAAACCATTGATTATCTAAAAATTAGCAACTTCAGTATTTCATAACAAAGCCAGAGATTCAAATAGAAAAGATGGTATCTGGGGACAAATTGTGTAAAACATGTGCCTTCATGCTGTCTCTGCATAGCTGAAAAATGAAGTGTTCTCAAGGAGTACTGGATGATTCCTGGAAAGCTGGAATAAATCATACTGAAGGTGATTCAGAGCTGCTCAAAGTTGAAAACTGATGCTTCATTGCATTGAATTGAGAATACACCAATAGTAGACCAGAGTGGTAATTTAAATACCTAAGCTCTCACATCCTATATTTGCATTTGGTGTATATGTAAATTCTCTTGAACAAGAACACCAACCCAGGTTACACAGATCGTGACAGAAGTCATTCATTTCTCCCCAACAGTTTTTCAGTTTTGTAAGCCATTATCTTCCAAAAATTCTGTATGGTAAAATGTTGCCAATTATGACAATAATAAAAATTGAAACTAATTTTCAGAAAAACTTGATATTCTGAAATTTACACATCTTTATCAGAAATACTCTTTAACTCACCATCCTTAAAAGACAGTCATCTTTACCAAAACATGCTGTCAGATTCATTTTGATTGTTTCTTTCCTATAATGTATCAATTCACAGAATTAATCTTTCTACTTTTATTTTATTTTCAGTAATCAAAGAAAGGAAGCCATCACCCAGAGCTGTACTGTAAAGCAGAATGTTACCTAGTGCTGCAAAACACAATACATGATCTTTGTTTTCTTTAAATGATTCTAATCACAGTTCCATTGCAAATCCCTCCTTGTCAGAAAAATGTAAAATTTGGTCAGTTCTGGAGTTCTAGCAGACCTGAACATTGACCTTGCACATCCTTTCTTTCCCTTTTTGAAGCCTCATGAACTTAATTTGAGTGTGTTTCAAGGATCAGTCTGAAGCAGTGTTTTTGAACTCAGCTGGGTCATAGGAACTTTCTCAGCACTCTATTCTAATTTGCAGATTTGCTATAATAAAAGCCCCAAATATATTGCTACTGTCTAGACATTTTATCTGAAACAAGTGTCCTTTGCAGTCTCAGAGGACTTTTCTATTTTATTTCCAGTAAATCAAAGTCTGCGAAGAGCTTTGGTTCTTATTAAGACATACCCTTCACAGTCCAGCGGTTGCCAACGGAGGCAAGTCATTGACAGTTCATTTACATATAAGTGATGACTTCCATCAGGTAGTTGGCTCAAAAGTACAATGGACATTTAGAGCATATCCAATATTTCTTGTTCTTTGATGAGCATCAAGTGCCAATTTATATATAGAAACTGACTATCGGAAAGCGAAGGCTTCTTTTCATTGACCTTACACTGTCTTTTGCAGACATATTGGAACAAGTTCATTCCCCTAAAAAGAAACATAAAGCAAGTCAATACTAAGAAATAGCAAAACAACTACGGAAGTTGTTCAATAGCAAAAACACCCTCTCATACGCCTTGGTAGTATGAGTTACTGTTCTGCAAAACAATCAGTGGGGCAAGATGCGAGTTCCCAGGGGGCATGAACCTCATGGTGCCACAGGGCCACTTGGAGGTATGGGACTGCTGCTCTCTCAAGCAGCTGAATGAATAGTTGCACTGTCAAGCTAAAAGCCCCAGGGGAGAAGGAGCAGGAACGCAGTGCATTCAAGCATAACCCAGATGTCACCCTAGTACCAAATGCTGATGTAATCACAGCAGATACAAACACACATTGACACAGCACAGAGAGGTGATTGGGCTGCTGTGGGATGCAGCTGGCTCAGGCAAATGCAAAAGGGAGTTTAGTTATTGATACAACGTTATGTTTGGGTGATATGGGTTATTGGAAGAATGGAGGAACCACTGGTGACCCTCATCCATATGCTTAGCAATAGTAACAGATTTCGGATCCTCTGCTCAGAGAGGATGCGCATTACCACTCAGGTAATACCAGTTACTTTACTTTCTGTGTTCAGTATTGGAAAGTTATCCACAAAGTCAAGAACAAAGCACAGAAATTTTTAGAAAATAATAGAAATATAATACAAATAATAGAAAAATCTATTTAATAATAGAAACTAAAACTAGAAACAATAGAAAAGCAAATATATATATATGTATATTTTCAAAGCCAGAAGCAGACAAAGGTACCTTCCTTATAGAAGATGGATAGAGCCAGAGTGCATGTCCTGCAGTAGCATCTACTCAAAATATTATCTTGTACATTTATGTTTAAGACCTAAAAAGGCAGAAAAAAGGAATCTTTCCAGTTACCACACTATTTCCACTCAGAGAAAGCAGGCAGAATCCATACACCAGCAACAGTAAGTGCTGAATTTCCTCTCATCCAGGTTTTTCACTGCCCTCAAAGCTATAGCAAGAGTTGTGCAAATGCAACATGCCCATGCCTTAAGACTACATAAAGGAGGACAGTTATCTGATAACCTAGTTGGTCATTTCTATTCCAGAAATGACGATCGATTACCTCCCTTCTGCCAGATGTTTCAGCACCTTGTTTGGGCTGAAGGGGCAGAAACAGTTGCTGAGGGACAGCTAAACTCCTAAACAGAGTCAGCTGAGAGTGGGTAAACACTTCTCCTGGTACAGCACATCTATTTTAGAGGGTCCCTGATGCCTCTCACCTCCAGGTAGGCTGCATGTTGAAAGAGCTGCTGGTGTGCCTGTGGGGCAATGGAAAAATAAACCTCTGTGAAAATAACAATGAGTTTATTGCACCTGTTGTTGGCTGTGCTTACAGCGCAAAAGAAACAAGCAGTACCTTTTCTCCTTGATTTCTCTCTCCACATTAAACAACAGATTTATGACAGTGATGAGAACAGGTGTCATACTGCACGCACTGAGAAAAATCAGAAATGCGATTGTTTTCTTTAGGCCCCAAATTCTGAAATACTTACTGACTTTTTAGCGAACGAATTGCCTCTCCATTTACTGAAAGATGGATAGTATAAAGCCCTGTTCCTTACAAATTTGAAAGACAAATATCCTATTAAAAAAGCAACAATGTTGGCTTATCTGTTGCTCTGTGAAGATTGGTACAATTTTACACTTCTCAGTTGCCTAAGTCACGATGTTTTAATCTTCGAATTCACTGTGTACGCTGCACACTGATTCACCCTATCAAGTGCAAACTGTTTGGTCAAAAATGATGTAACATGATGGATTTTCACCTTTATTATGTTCTAGTTGAAGATGTCTTCAACATGAAGGAGTTTGGTGTTCTGCTCATGCCCAGATGCAATATTCTTTCCCTATGAGAAAATGTGTCAACTCTGGAACTTGATTTCTTTAGACTTCACCAGTTTTTCAAGCAGAGGCACTATCAATTTTGATCAGAGAGGCACGCTTCTTTCTGCCCTCTCATTGAAGAAGTCACTAATGCAGCTGACACTTGAAAATCAGGCTTTTTTGACTTTCGATGAGAAAATACTGCAATTAAAAACAAACAACAACAGAAAGCCCTTAGAAGTTTGGTAGAATAGGTTTTCATCTTGTTTCACGGAGTTCAAACTCATATTCTAAATAAACAAATATTTAGCTGAAGTGACTTGACTTCCCCCTGTTCATAGATCCAGGCCATATTTGCAAGCAAAACTCAATGTTCAAGTGTCCAAGAAAGACACAATATTACTATATTTATTCCTAGTTTCATTTTTCAGTCACTGGAATTCCTCAGACAATAAGTTTGCAGGCAATATAGAACCGTTTTCCATGTGATTAAAGTGAAGTAACTGCTGTTTTAGATTACTCTCAATTCCTTACTGGATCTTTCTTATTCAAACATGATATCATGTCCTTAATTTGGCCTTGGTGTAATACACAAGTTTTTAAACTAGTTTCAAAATTTGCTAACACAGTTTCTCAGTAACATTTTACATTTTTTGAACAAGTCGTGTCAGATATTTAAAATGCAAACCTCACAAAAAGGTAAAGAACCACATTGAAAATCTTATGAAGGAAAATACTGGAAAAGTAAGATAATTACCGCATGATCCTATAACTCCAGGAATCTTCCTCTATTATTTTTTATGCCCTGAAATGGGCCGTGGTTTGCTGTGAAGAAGAGGACTGTGAGTGCTAGCTTACGACATCACAGCATCATTGGAAGGGACGTCAGTGATTATCTAGATCCAACTCCCTTGCCACAGCAGGGTTGTCAAACACTAAATCAGGCACCAGATTAGGTTGCTCAATGCCCCAGCCAACCTGCGTTCCTCATCCTGATCAGATCAAGAAAGAAAAACATCACCAGCACACAATAAAATTAGAGTTCCTGGCACCCATCCATAAAGAAAAATGGGACCAAAAATGCACCAGACAATGATACCTACAGAAGGACAGTTCACACAAAAAGTCCTAAGTACTGACACATTAATTCCTCAGAACAAGACACTCTATGATCATCTTCATATAACCTGGAGATATTCTCCTAAAATGCAAGATCAAAGGGAGCACTAGGGAATCAGGGATGATTGCGTTACCCAAAAGAGGACGTGCCAATGATAGCAAAACACGTGTTTTTACAACTAAAAGGTAAGTTCATCATAAGGAGAGGACAAATACTGTTATCTGTACTGCATTTGTATAACATATCCTTACCAACTTTGCTTGTTGCAGAGAAATGCCTCTCACAGTAAATACTCACTTGAAAATAGGACCAGCACCCTGAGAGCTGTGTTCTTGGTATGTGTTTTGGCTTGCTTTAAAGTAAAATGAAATAGCATATATTTAGCTTTAAAATGGCACATGTTTGGCACAGTTTTGATGAATAGGAGAGTTTACCATGTGGCTATTACTTTCTACAGAAAATAGACTATTCAAAAGAAATAACAAGAGCAGGATGCTTTCTAATATGTTCCAAAAGTAGAGAAAACAAACACAAACATGCAGGCAAACAAACAAACAAACAAAGGACTTTGTTCTGCAAATAGTTTCACATGTGAAGAAACGGCACTTTGCTGCCTTGATGCCCACTGTTATTTTTGCAGGGAGGAGAACCAATTCACTTCTGACAAGATTAGGGTTAATGCCATCTCAGTAACAGGTAGGCAAATGACTTCCACAGACATAAAACAATTTGTTTTCTTTTAAAACTACATATTATTAATACCGCAGATGGTTGAAAATATGCATATAGACAAGCATGGACACATACCCCCCTTTTGTGCATTATCTAGAACCACACGACTGTAAAAAATTATGTCAACAAGACAGTCCCACAAATCACACTTTTGCTGACAGTGATCTTGCAGGGTGTGATTATCGAGAGATAGACATTGTGAAGTAGGCTAGGGACTAGGTGGGAAAGGAAGATCTGTTTAAAAAGGATTCTTTCCTGCATTGCTACAGTCAAAATAGCCAACACTGTTTTTGGCCAGCATGTTACTCATGCTGTGCCTCTACCTCCAGCACGTTCCTTATGAACCCTGTTAAAAGGTTATTTGTACCTTCAGCACTCAGACTGAACAATGCAAGTCCTCAATTGGAAAATGCAATTGGAATTGCTGGAGAATAATTACAAAGAGTATAGAAAGCAACAATTGCCAAGAACATATTATGATTTCAAAGTCTAAGCAAGCCTCTCCTCCATCAGTAGTGAAAACAGGGAGACAAGAGGAGAATAACAACAGAAGGGATAAAAAAGAGAAGCAGCTGGAAGAAATAAGCAGAAAGCCTCAGAATGGAAACTCTCTTGGCAGGATCTGTGGAAAATAGACCATATCCATAGAGTAATTGTATAAAATAATCCATTACCAAATAAAGATTTATATAATACACATATTTAAGCTTTGCTTCTCTGCTCAAGTAAAGAAAAAAAAAGGACATTTGACTGCTCAGAGAACAGTCCAAATAGGAAGAGTCAATCTAAATTGTTTTTGAAACTTCTCTTCATCTGCATGTGATACAACTGGTCTTTTGATCTTTTGCATATGAAAAAGACTGTCTCACCAAAACTCTCCTTGTTGGGTAGAGTACATGGGGTTTCTTAAAATCTCGGCATTGAGATAATACCAGAAGTGAGACTGGGTAGTGGAAGTAAATGAAACAAAACTAGGAGTATCCCAGAAAATAAACAACCCAAAACCAGAGCGCTAAATTTGTTTACAACAAAACCTGACCATAGAAAATAATATATAATATATTATATATACATATATATAAAGTATTATATAATTACTCCTCAAGACATTTCAAGATACCTATAGAGCAGAGAAGTAAAACTCTGCCATAAGCCACATCTCCGTATCTGATGCTATTCAAAAACTAACTTGCTGTACAAGTATTTTATAAAGCAAAAGAAGCCACTTTACAACATCTTAATGACATGTTGTGATGAGATACTGGCTCCTGTGGGCCAGCCTGAAACAGATCATTTAGCTGAAGAGCTTTTGATTTGTTCATCTCTGCAACTGTTCATTGCTTTTCACAAATGTTTCAAACACACTTAGCAAATACGTTAGTAAACTTACCTTGGTTGTTTAAGTTTTTAAGTTTTTTCCATCAAATGATGCTGAAGAAAGAGCATACTTAGGTAATATCACAAATACAGATATTCAGATTTTGTAAAGCCAGCCATTAAAACCTACTAAAATTAACTTACTAAAACTAATTGAAGGTAAAATCAAGCATGACCTGGTGCACTGAAAAGTAAAGGAAAAAGAGCCAGTTTCCATCCTTCTTTGAAAATAAGGCTACAGGCTGAAATCTAGAGTGACATCTCTCCTGTTAGCCCTAGGAAACTATTTTTAGTTTGAATGAACTATGCCTAAATTACTTTTCAGTTTTAAGATATTACGGTAGAGATGCATAAGTCACCTTGTCTGTTGAGATGAATGCTACTGCATCAGTTTACTGTTGAGAGTTATTAGAAGTTATAGCAATTAAAAAGAGCTGTGAAGACATGGCATTTAATTTTTCAACCTCTCTATGGACTTAAGACTATAACTATTTTGATAACAAAAACAATAGGTTTTTTTGTTTTGTTGTGTGTTTTTTTAACATCTTTCTTGGACGTTCTTTCTACATTTGGTGACTATATTTGCAGTTTTATAGGAAGGGCTGGGAAGAGTAGGCTGTCTCTCACTCACCAGGAATGCCATTTCACTACAAAAGGTCAGAGGAAGGGCTGCTGACCCATGGTTAGGCATCCTTGCCTTGCCTTCAGGGCAGCACTAAAGACAAAAGGTTCAGGAATGTGCCTGTCTCCAACAAAACAGGTTTATCTATCTGAGCACGCCTTTTAAAATTGGAAAATGCAATGTAACAGCATTTGGAGAAAGGAAACTGAAGGTAACTGAGTCCCTGAAAGCTCTTGAGAGACAGACAAACTCATTTTAAAGGAAATCAATAGTATAAGCCCATTTGAAATTTACTAAGTGTAAGTATTTAAATTTGTTAACCAGAGGAAAAGTGCGGCTTACAAAGTTTACAATCTACATACATACAGTATCACGTTTAAAGTAACGTCACAAGATCCTGTTAAAACACATGCAGTTGCATAGCAGTTCTCTTACTGTCTAATTCCCTGAATGGGCCTCATGGTTCCTTTACAACAAGATTGCATTATGATACAGCAGCATGGAACTGCTGGTGTCTCAAATCATTTGTAATTATTTTAAATCTAGAAGGACAAAAGAATGTCATTTCTAAAGGAGTAGAAGTGACAAAAGAAACAAACAGTAGAAGACACAAATGTTTTTGAAATATAGCCAGGGTACAAATTTTTCTCTACATATAAAATAAAAAACTGCTGCATCATGTCTCCATCAGAGCTTCTCTGTTTTAGGTACCACACATTCATGCTGGTAAGGGATTGTGTTCTGTGCATTATGGTTGGTTAAATATTTCTCAAAAGTTAATCTCCTTCGAAATTTATTAAGTAGTAAAACTAAAATTCTATTAACCTTAATGGGATTTACACAAGGGAATTCACACATAACGTGGATGCAACAGTAATGCTTAATACTGTGCCAGGAAAAAAAGACAAGCTTAGCGCAGCTAAAGCCATCACGTTTTCTATTTATGTAGTCCTTCACAAGGGTAATCCTCTGCATATTAAGGGGAGAAGAAAATGCAGCGGTTAGTATTTAATCTTCTCAGATGCCAAGTGAGATAGCTTCACTTGCCAATAAAGGGTGGTCTTACTGCTGTGGGACGTTGGTAGAAGGATTGACAGGCATAATCTTTGCTTTTCTTATGAATCCTGAAAGTGCTACTGCTTACATTTTCTGCCGTATAATGCTGTATATGTATATGCATAATTACATACATACATTACTATTGGAATACATTCCTTGTAATACAATATATATGCAATTTAATGACTACAAATACATATTCTCCTTGAACAAGCCATTCCTCGAAAACAAACTGAAGTAAAACTCCTCAGATTTTTCTCCAAAGATCATCCATCTTTATGGTTTCCAGCA